CCCACCCCCCCAAGCAGCCCAACAAAACAAACCTAAAAAAAACACGAGAGAGAGCGAGAGGAGAGAAATTCCCTTTGGTACGGAAGTTTATTGACTACACAGTTACATTAAGCTCTAGTGGTAATGAGTCATGCAACGACTGTGACACATAGAATCCCTGATCAGATACGTCAGACACACAAACACAAACAGAACAAGAGGGAGAGAGAGAGAGAGAGAGAGAGAGACAGAGAGACTTTTACTTTTAGAGAAAGCCAGTCTCTTCTCCCCCTGTCCCAGTACATTGTCTAAACAATGCTGGAGTTTTGCCAACACTTTCCAAGTGTTTTTTGAAACAACACTGGACATACCCCGAGAGGAAACCAGCTGTGCAGTGCTGGGTAGTAACCTAAACAAGTCTACTTCTGCGAGAGACTGAGGACAAACAATCCTCTAACAGGCTGATCACCAAATGTTTTTAAAGCAAATCTTGATTCGCCTCAATTCAATGCAACATATGTGACACTCAAAGAATGCTTCTGAGGCTATGCAAACAAAAGAATCTAGACACTGTCACTTGACCGATGTTGATTGAAAACCTACAAGTCGAAGATTATGTATGAGCTGCAATCGAGTCACCCAAAGGAGCTCATGAAAAGCACGATCAGAATTTTTCACATTCATTTCCATCTAAACATAGGCCACAATGAGGCCATCATTAAAAACGCACACGTCTGAGTGTCACCTAAAGTTGCAACTTTCACAAGTTGGAGAAAAGAGAGCAAAAGCAACAGCAGCAGCTAAAATGTCACAGACGAGCAAGATGATTTTAAAAAAAAAAGAAAAAAAAAAGAAAAGAGTCAAAACATAAGTTGTTGAAGTCTGCGCAGCCTTAAGCGGAGAGCCTGATGACGTGTGGGCTGTGGACAGCACGACCAACCACACATTTTGACTAAGAGACCTACACAGAAAAAAAGAAACACAGTGGCTACACACTGGTCAGGTACTTCTCCCAAGTGGAATGCATGGCTCCGTGGAGGAGAGGCTAAAACAAGTGAATAACAACAATGCGAGCATCATGATCATTGTAACTCTCTCTGCTCATTCATGGTAAAAAAAAGGATGCAAACCACTGTGTGTTCGCATACTCTTGTGCCAATGTGGATGATTAAAGTAGCTGTCGTAGAACTGAAGATAAACATACATGACAAACACAAACAGTGCAGAATAAGATAGCATGGGCATACAAGGCTTGATTAAATTGACATAATTCGGTTAAGAACATAATTAAATATTGTTCAAAATGGTACACATGCCACTGCAAAGGAATCCTCTTACAATAAACCTGCACATGGCAGACATTTAAGATCCATTTTAAGCATTTCGCCAAGTATGGAGCAAATGCAATTTGACACCGGTGGCTGTATTAAAGACAGATTTCATGTCTTGCATGTTTATCACAAGCAGACTCCATTGTGTGACTGGCATGGAGATCACGGCACCAACAAATGATGATGATGAGAGCTTCATAACACAGAATACTTCAAAGAAAAGTCGGAACCATCACTTATTGTTTCACACACTCGTTCTCATAGGGTGTTGAACATCTACACAATAAGTTCTATAAATTTCTACCCTACAGACACTTTCTCAAGGTCAATGCCATCCACTGAAGAACCACTACAAAAACAAATGTATTTTATATCTAAATAAAGAAACAACCATATTGCAGTAGACACATTGAACATGATCAGAACACAGGGGTATAGAATTATAGACTACACACAGGGCACAGAGAGGGCATAACTAGGTATGGGACTAGGAGCAGTTTGTGTAAGAGGGTGAAAGGGGAGCGAAGAATGGGGGAGACAAGAAAAGGTGTGGAAAGAGAAAGCGGGCAATGAAAAGTGAAGCAAAAGAGCTATGCTAACACAAATCACAGCTTTGAATATGAAATTATTACATGGCTGACACAAGTATGATAAACACATCATCGGATTTGAATGAGAAGGAACATAATCCGTGACAACACTCACAACACACGAATCTTACAGACTGGGGGGCTGGGGACACATTCCGTCTCCAACAGAACCACAGTCACAAAAAACACATTACATTTCTCTCTCTCTCTCTCTCTTTTTCCTCGTCTTCTCTCTCTCCATCATTCAAATACACATAAATGCGTAATTGTAAAAGAAATGGTACTGACAGCTAGCATATTGGGATCTAAGGGGCTAATGAATTCATTTTGTAGTGGACTTCGTCTTATTTAAGCAGAATGAGCAGTACTGACATCAAACACAGGATCGAACTCTATGACCCATGAATAATTGTTTTCAAAATGGATACATCCCTTTGTCAAAGTCAAACAAAAAAAACAAACACTTTCTCAACACACACAAACACTACACAATCCAGCTCTACTGCAGTAAGTATTACATAGTTGTACCTAAAATCACCACCATCCACGACGACTCATTTCTGACCCAGTGACCCCTACATCTCAAATAAATGTAAACTCATAATAAGAAATATTACTTTTCCCATCTTGCCAGAACCACACAAAATATAAGCGCTACCCTGGCAGTAGACAAAAATGGCATAACCATCAACCAGCGAGCAATGTCTCTATGGGACAACCCTGTCTCTAAATCTAAGTTTAAAAGTCTCAAGAGTCCCAAAGTGGCAAATGGGAGAAAGTCAGCCCAATATCTCTTAACAGAAAAAGACGACAACACATGCGTACATCCATCTCTTTCGCGCTTCCAGAATCATACTGAGTACTTCATCGAATCCCAAGTCACATTCATTTCGAGCACAGCCACAGAAAGGACCGGTCAGTCCAGGGTGTAGTAGACCAGCAGTGTCTGTACGTCAGAGCTGTGTGTACGTCACCCTGTCCCTCGCCTGTGTGTATGTTCTTCCCGCTGCAGCTCGCAGTCCATCATGGAGCGAGGTGCGACGTTGGGTCTAGCACCGCGTCTCATACAGGCCGCTGCGTCCGATGTAGCGCACCCACTTGATCACATCATGGTCGCTGTAGTTCATCTTGGACTCAAACACTTTCAGGTAGCGAACTTTGAACCCACTGGGAGCAAATGGCACCTGGATTGAGGCACAAACAAAACAAAGTACATCACTATTAACCTACCAATCTACTTAAGAAATTATGACTTGGAGGACAGCAATATGACCTACTAACTAACAGAGAAGATGCCATAACACAATTTATGGTAGATAAGACAAAAACAAGACGACAGTTTGTTTTGTAAAGAAGTAAAGAGTGAAGCACGTTGATACAATAATGGTAAGATCGCGCTTGGAAAAAGTAAGACACAGAGATGTGCCTACCAATGGCAACCTCCAACCATCCGCAAGACAAGACTCGAAAAGTTAAAATATGAAAATGAAACAAGTAGAGAGATGATACACTTGGTGATCCCACTGACATGATAGTTGTGAGCACAGGCTAACACTGTTGTCACACATGTAAGTGAGTGTTCACTGGAGTGTGTCCCTGAGCAAGACATAATAAACCTAGTCAAAATACAGGACGCTGTACAAGGATGACCAGCAATGGTGTCTGTGTCAGAGTGTTAGTGATATGTGATATTGCATTTGTTATTCACTTGACAAAGACATTTCTTTCTTTTCAAGATGATAGGAAACCTTTGATATAACGATACAAGCTTTTAGAAATAGATACAAATTTCTTTTACTTGAGAAAGAATTTTTATAACATCCTCCAAAAACAGTAAATATATGAACAAATTTATTTTTAAAAATTTCTAATTACAAAAAAGTTCTCTGGATAAATTATGGCATAGTCTTGCTATCCAAAATGAACACAAGCATAACAGAAACAAAGACGGACAAATGTTTTTTTGTTTTTTTTTACCTCAAAGTTCATGGAGATGGGTGGTCGGGTCCACTTCTTGCTCTTATCACTGGTGTTGAGCAACTCAATCTCCGCACTCAGCTGGCACTCCTTCATGCCCCCCATACGCTTGATCCTGATCATTAGCAAAGGAAAACATTAGCAAATACAACTTTGTAAGAAATACTGGGCATGCTAGAAGTTCTTGTACATTGGGAATTTACACTGATAATAGAAATATAGATTGTAAAGGGCATACAACTAGCTGTTGAGCAGGAATTTGAGCAGTACAAATGTCATCTTATTATATAGTATATTATTAAATGAATAAACCAATTAATTCTAAATGAGCCCCAAAAGAGACATTAACTTTTTCAGTGCAATGCACAGATATTCAATGATTCATAGAATTTCCTTACATCTTATGACCATCTGGAGATAAATAATGGCACAGAAAGAATTCATTTACCATACCAAATCTGTTGAACATCTGGTTATGGTCTACTTGAGGTCTCCCTTCTTAAAAATAAGTTATAACCCCCAATGTTTGTCTTAGGTCAAGAAAGTTTTGAATGAAGCTCTCAATTAGATCTTTACCAGTGCTGATAATTTTGTATTAGTAGCCACCTGCATAGCAGGCAGTATAAAGGAAAGCTGAGCTGGTTTCATATTCAAAACTCATAATAAAAAAATACTCTTCATTCAAGCATGAAAATAACAGCAAGGCATGGGGAGACCAATCATGGGTACAGTTAAGAAATGAGCCCCCAAAATAGGCGAGTCACCACTTTCAGAGTCCCATGGCTCGGATGCAACAACAAAGTCACATGCCTGCCTTATCATAACGCACATAGCAAAGACAGAAGAAGCCGAGGCGGACATGACTCATGTATCAAGACGATATGGCTAGCAGTTGACAAAGTCATTTTTAAAAGAAAGATGTGCTTAACTGTTTTTAGTTAAGCGTTTTACGGTTCTTGCAACACAATCAGGTCATACAAGTGCCGAAGATTAGAGGTGTGGCAATAGAATATCAAAAAAAAAAAAAAGGAGAGTTCAGGACAAAAGACGTTTGATAGGAAAGAAGGAACACACCACACCAGAGCACCTGCCAACCATCTGAAAAACATGTTTATGGTAAATACAAAAACATACCTATCTTGAACTTAACATCGTCACAGTGTCTCACACAAACCAGCCAAGTCATAAAAGTCCAATTTTTCATGAGGAGCAAAATACTGCCTAAATAAAGTAAAGCTAAATACTTAGAATTCAGTTTTTGTACATCTGTAAAGGAAATCAAGAGTTTGCTACAGCCAAATTTAATATTATTATGCCATATTGAGATTCTAATAAAGAAAACAAAGGAAAAAAAAAAAAAGAAATAGGGAAATCTCAGACTTAGATGGTTTGCGCCTGTCACTGTCACCATCTTTATGGTACACTTACTTCCACACAATTGCGTTCTCACTGGCCTTGTACTTGGCCTTGCCCTTCATGCATATGACTTGTACACCGCTCGTATTGAGGGGAGTGGGGATTCGAACCTGAGAACAAACAAGCAAGGAACAATGGCTCAGCATAGTACTGATATTGCGGGAACAGTTATGTAATTTAATAACCAAGAAATTCAGAAAAATTCTAATTGAAGTTCAAACTATTGTATTAGCCACCACTCTCGCTGGACCTTTTTCTTAGAGTAATCTAAGTTCAAAGAAAGTTGTCTTGGAAAGGTCTACTCTGTGTATCTCTTTGTATTATTTGTGCATCCTAAAATCTGGTATACCAAATGTCACTGGGGCCTACATCAGAATAACCACAGAAACTTCACTTTATTAACACAAAAAGCATATGTTCAGAAGTGAACAGTCCTATAAACATTCTCCTAGGTGTTCTCACCTCAACTTTTTGAGCCAGCAGTGACGGTTTGAAATTGGACTTCACAACAACCTTGACCTCCATCTTCTGTCGTCCGACCTCTCTCACAAGCGGGATCACACGGAATGGCAAGCTGATGTCTTTAGTAGTGCGGTACCTGGAGTGTGGAGTTCACAGCTAGAGATTGCTTTAAGCTCACACAGTACAATATACATTGCCTTAATATAAAGCTCTATAACTAGTGGTTCTTGACCTGGGTTTATTCAGCCAGTCCCACGAGTTCAGAGGAGGTCAAGATACTCAAACTGTGTGCTTGTTTCTTTCATCTCATTCAAAGGGTTCAGTGACCGCATGTATAAAACTTGCAGGGTTCAGTACCTCTATTTAGATTAAAAACTACTGCTTTATATAAGTATATGATTCCATATACTGGAATAACAACATAATTTTGAAACAAATTCTAACAAAATAGAACAAAAGAAGAGTTCCAAAGACAATAAAATATTTTCCAAAAAGCCCAGAAGTTCATTATATGCCCCTAATTCTTATTAATCAACCCTCCACAAATCTCATGATTATACCTCTGCTGGAACTGTACACAATGTGTGTGTGTTTATACATTATTGTTATCCCCTATAAGGACACACACAACTGAACACTGTCTGGACTGATTTGCTTCCATACAGAAGAGGAAAGTAATTAATTTACAGGTATAAAAGTAATAATGAGTTTAGAGGTGCACCCACCTCATGAGCTCAAACTCGCCATCTGGAGGGATGAAGCTGATGCTGTGCTCCGTCTCAAACTTGCTTAGCTTGACACACTGGTGGAACTGGCAGTCGTCGATGGCGATGGCTGTCTTACCTGCAGTGCTGCACACAAATGGAGAGTACATTCAAGAAAAATCTCATTTAAAATCATACTTTGAAAAATCATAAGTCTATATGTCTTGACTCTTCGTGGGCAAGACCCAAAACAGTTTTATCTTTCTTTAAATCATTTGACCATGTGTTGATAAACATGGGATAAAAAGTCACTCATATCATAAGAGGTATAAAAAATTAGACTTTTCAAATAGGAACTCTGTCTAAAATCATGCTTTTGTTAAAAATTTGAATATGCTGGTGATTCTCCCCAACCCACCTGCAGAATCTATATGGTTTTGTTCTCAGTTTTAAAAAAGATCACTGCTTTTCTTACATTAGTGATTTAGCATCAAACTTGTCTTCCTCATAGACAAGATACAGCTCTGCTGAAGGTTTCACCCCAAAATGCCCTTCCTCCCATTCCCCTATTCTCACTTGGGTACAAATCAGAGTGAAAAGAGGCACAATCATTTACGCTGGCTTTTCCAAACATACAAACTTGGGCCCAGCTCGATCAGGAATCAGACCCATCACCTCCAGATTCATGGACAAGGTACAGATCAACTGCTCTGTTTTAAGTCACTTTTTAAAATGGCATACGGCGGAGTCTTACACTAAGCATTCAAGACACATCTGCCGCTTATCCTGCCTGCAGCACAGAAGACTAAAAAAAGCACAGGCAGCTTACCCTCCCCGTGAGCTGTCGTCCAGGCTACTCTTGCCCTTGCTCTCCACCAGCACCTTGTCGTTGATGCCAAACTTGCACTCCGGCATGCCACTCAGGTAGCTCTTCATCACAATACGTCCAGCCACGTGGGCACTTAGGACTTGGCCTAGGGGGGGAAAAGCACAAACACAGCTGAACATTTGTCGTTGAGTGTTGATATCTATATAATTTGATTGTTGTTGTCGTTATCAATATCTATATAATTTGATTGCTGTTGAGCTTTCAACTTTTAGTTGTGTCTGTTCGTTTGATTAAATAGAAGCATGCAGACACAATAATGGTAATTTATTGCAGGTGAAAAAATAAGACATACACAAAAACAAAAGACAAACAATTTCTGAGAGATGTCATGTTGTAAGATAATTATGTAGTGGATGTCTACTTTAGCAGTCTCTCCTCTCAAATTTAAGAACTGAAGACAAATAGTGCAAGCATGGATGGGTGAAGGACGCTGCCCAGTTGTTCCTCTATCTCAACTCTCCTTCAGATGATTTTCTTTTTGTATGCCATTCACCTTTCACCCTTGCTGTACAAAACGTGTCATAAGCTAAAAGAAACTGAGATAAGTGGTTGAAGGACACTGCTGTGATCACTCATTCTTCTTTCTCCAACATCCTTATGTTGTTCTTTTAGCCTATCATTCACCCTTGCTATCTCATTGCACAGAATTTTATAAGTTAAATGAAACTGAGTCACATGTGGGCGGTTGAAGGTAGCTGCTATGACCAGCTGTTTCTCTTTCTCAACTATCTCTTTGTTTATCTTTAGTCTATCTCTGGGTGTGAAATTCTACAAAACATAACTGAGGAAAGTGGTAGCAAGATGCCCCTGTGACGAGCAGTCTCTCTCTCTCAAGGGTGCAACCATCCCTTTGTTGGTTTTTCTTTTGGCCTGTCGCTCATCCTTTCTGTCTAAAGTAAAGTAAAGTTGTTCCTGCATCCGATCCGGACTTTGGGGATTGCTTTGTTAGTTAGACAACTTCCTGGGCCTTTGGCATATTGTGGTAGGGTGGCCAGTTCCTTTCCACGCCGCCTTTACTTCCCCAACTCAAAGTCAGGTACCCATTACAGCTGGGTGGGCAGGAGGGGCGAAAAAAATGCGTGCCCGAACCGAGGCTCAAACCCAGACTTTCCGCTTCGCAGACGAGCACACTCACCACTCCGCCACCGCACCCTTTCTCTCTACTTCCATAACATATCAAAAGTTAATCGACAATTAAGTCCAAAGCTGAGCGTTCACCTTGAGGGGACATGAGCAGGTTCACAGACTCCAGGACATCCAGGAACAGCTCATTCCTCCTGTACTTGATGCCCTCTCGCCTCCAGCCGATCTGACCAGTCACCTGAGAGGTGATTTGTGCTGTTTCTTCTTTGGTCTGAAAAGAAAATCACCAACCGCAATACAGTTTAAAAAAATTCCAGGACAGAGGTTTGATAATTTAGACTACCATGTTAGCCTAAAAAGAACCCGGGACCAACAATAATAGAATAATAATAGTTTAATAATGATAACAACAACAACAACAATAATAATGATAACTTTAACAATAATGATGATGATAATAAGAAATAATAAAAATAATAAAAATACATTGTATTAAAATATTGACTCTCTCAAGTCTATCTACATTATATCCGCACAGGCGTTCTATACGGGATGATAAATGATTAACTCTTTCCATCTGCACACAGGTAAATTCTATGTCACTGTAGACATACCTGGGACTTGACACCTTGTTGGGTGATGAAAGTCTTCAGAATGCCAGTGTCTGTGTTCTGAGGGTATCCAAAGTCCAGAATCTCTGAAAATGACAAACGTTCTGGATGTTAACTAATTTCCCTTGTGAAAGCACAAAACCTTTAGATATTCACCTACAACCAATCCAGTGAAACTTCTCAATTCAGCCCACGGGAAAACGAAAATCTCTCTCTTGCACAAGTTCCGTGACTTTTTACTCTGAAAGGACAAACACATCTCTCTGAAATAAAAAGTCTCTTACCCACTAGGCACTGTTCTTTTTTTTCAGCATGTTTTGTATGAAGTAATAATCTTTTCAACATTTGTTCTTCACATATATATGTGCGGAATGCTTTATGTGAAACCATTCTTACAATTTCAGCCTAGTCTCGTCTTCTAAAGAAAAGATACTGACACCATAACAGCTGCACTGTCACTGTTGAAACATATGACCTACTAGGTACACCTTCAATACAGCAAAAACAGTTTAAAAAATGGAGTGAGGAAGACTGCAACTCTCCAAACAAAATGCATACAACTCATGATGACAATAAAAATCACCCACCCCACCCCCTCCCCCAAAAAAGAGACTGAAGATAAAACAGACAAATTACATTCTATTCTAAAAGCACAACTGTAAGACAACTAAACAACACCTTCGACAATAAAAGCACTGGACACACTTTTAAAGAATCACAGCGGAAATTTTGAAACTACCCACCATCCAAGATTTCATAGATGAGGACAAAATTGTTCTTGATGTTCTCCTCGGAGATCTTGCCAAAGTAGGCAGCCATGACCTCGCACATTTTGTGCAGGAACTCAAAGACCATAGCGGCGTTGACATTCTGCTTGGTGACGGCAGCCACCCAGATGTTGGAGCGTTTGATGTGGAAGAAGCTGGTTCTGGCAATGTTGGTGACAGGCGACCGCACCTGCTGCCGGGCATGGATCACGTTCACACGGAAGGCGTCCACTGCATTACGTCTGGGGTTTATTGAGGGGAAAGAAAAGTTAATCGACATAATGACATTTTGTCTTTCAGTAAAGAAAAGCACATAGACACAATAACAAATATCTAATACGTGCATATATGCAAGACGAAATTAGAAACAAGAAAGAGAAAGAAAAGAACTCCTACCAACACCTACCAATAGCTCCATCTAACCATCCTCTATTGGTCTATTTAGCACTAACAAAAAGAATGACAGGTAGAAAGAAACAACAGAAGGAAAGAATACAAAAAGGAACTGTTTGTGACAGCAGTATCTTTCAACCACCCGTGCAAAAATGCGTAAAATTGTATAGGTTTAATGTCCCTAGCAACACTGTAAGGCTATCTTTATCTAAGAGGCGGGCTCTCCAAATTTAAATTTAACGTCCACTTCCAGTAGGATTGAGCCAAATGAGAAAGTTCTTGTAAAGTGCCTTTCCCCAACACACAACATCAGATCATGTTGAACCCTCAATCTCATGATTTGAGCCCAGTAGTCTAACCACTATGTTCCTGATACCAACATCACTCATGCTTGTGGAGCATTTGTAAAAACATTTATGAACAGCATAAACTTAGAGACTAAGTCTTTCGTGTGTGCCTTAATAAATATGAAAAAAAATCCATGCATATATATATACAATCGTGAGAAAGTATAATTTTCCATTATTATGATCATGAAAAGGAGCTTTCTGCATCTGTTACTATAGAGCATGAGAAACTGCTGCCTGATGAAATCAGCCACTCATTATATTTGCTGCCTATGTCACGCTCCTCACATTTTGTGGCTTTGAACACAGAAAAATCTCCATGCATTACAAAACAAAATATATTCAGACTGACCTCGGGTGACATATTCATGAGTAAAGATGGCACACTTGCACCTACTTGCTACCTTCTACCATCATGAGTATGAGCTGTGAGAGTTTGACTTTACTATCAACTAATTAAGTTTGATCATAAAAATTTAGAAGAAAAGAGTTCAAGAAAACTACCCACATCACAAAGGAACATGTACAAATGAAGTTGCACCAACCCTTTGAAAAAATAAATATAATAAAAAAAGAAACCCATCTATAGGGAAAAATGCAAAAGAAAAAAAATGGAAGCTCAAAAATTCTTGAAAAAAACCTTCTATCGTCAGCTCAAGGAAAAAGAAAGACCTAAAACTGCAGTTACTGACAAGAGCAGAGAGTGCAAATAGAAAGTTTAACTTCTTTTACAACAATTACTTATAATTATAAAAAGTCATAACAAGGGATAAGAACATTCATTACAAAGTTATATATTATATTAAGGAGAGAAAAAGAAAATCAACACAGTCTTATTGTCAACTTAAGAAAAAGAAGTAAACATTTGTACATAGTTAACAAATTATCCATACCCAATGTCATCACGGAAGACCCTGGAGATCAGGACCTCTCCCTTATGATTGTAGATAAAAAGGCCACCAATCATTGTGACAGTTTTACACTTTTCTCCTCCTCAAAATTCAAATTATTCTGAAAAAAAAAAAAAAAAGACATCAAAGTCAAAGGAAATATATACGTACAAACAGCAATGTATTGCTGAGATTTTTGATGACAAAATCTGCCTTTACTAGACAGAACTGCTAGTAGCGCACTTAAAGTAGTGAAACAAATTATACTTAGTTGAAAAAGAAGGCCCACGTGCACTAGATTATAGATTAATCAAAACTTTTTCGGTTAAGTGGGAAGACCTTTCAAGAATCACAAAAGTTTGAAGTAACTAATTAATCTAAATAATGATTAAACGAATTGAATGGTTTCTATTGCATTCTATTACCCACTACCAACCTAGTTATTGCTACTTTCTTTTTCAATCATATTTTTCACACCAATTTTATCTTCCTTTTTCTAGTATCATTGTTTCGTATAGAGGGAAATTAACCAGACATAATTTGAGATGCACAGGTAATAATAATGTCCACTCATGGCATCCATACAGCCCTTACATCCATGCTCCACAATCTACAACATGATTTTGTTTTTATGGTGCTTGAAACTGCATAAGGTCATATGAGCGCGTGGGACACATTTTAAAACATTTTCAGTTGGTACGAAATTTAGAATTTTGCTTGGGTGGCGGCGGCAGCCTATTCTTATCGATTTTGGACCACGAAGGGATCTTTAATGTGTGCAACTTGCACAAGGAACCAAGACCAAGGTAGTGCATATCTATGTGTTATGCAGTGAATGTCTTTTGGGTGTGGTGCTTTGTCCTTCACTTTATCCTGAAAGCCCGACTTAGATCCCTTCATGGCTGGGGCTCCATCAGTACAAATACCACACACATTCTTCCACTCAAGACTCAAGACCCTCGTTTAAAAAAAATGAGGATCTTGTTCATGACATCATCAGCTGTTGTTGTGGTGTCCAGTGGGGTGCAAAATAAAAGTTCTTCTTTTTTCATAACACGTATCTAACAAAAACCTGTAACTGTGAGCACGATGCCACATCAACTGATTCGTGAAGCTGGAACCAGAACATGGGGGAGGCTTTGATCTCCTCTACAACCTGTTCTTAATGTTTGAAGACATGCGTGCAATACACCTCTTGACAGTATCACTCGAAAGGGGAACTTGCTGTAATTTCTTTGCACTAGCCTCACCTAACATCAGCAGTGCCATCTTTATTGTGCCAAGCTTTATTTCCTCAATTGTGGGTGGTTTCTTTTGTTGTTGTTGCTATTTCTCTCTCTCTCTCTCTCTTCTCTCTCTCTCTCTCTCCTCTCTCTCTCTCCCAAATTTTTAAAATCTCCTTTGTCAAATTTCCTGACATAGCCTTTCTTGTGTGTTTATTGTTGTGCCACACAACAACATAGTTGTATAATTTATAGATTTTTTTTTCTCAGCTAGGCCTATGATCTTATTAGAGATGACGAGCCATAGATGCCTACATCTACATGGAATTACAAAGAGACAATAATGGTGAATAAGAGTTTCCGTGCCTAGGTGAACACAAATTAAGCTCAGCCGAGACAGGTTAGGATTAAAATATGAATGACTACCATACCATTACCATGCTTCCTCCTGTGACCCCCTTCTCTGAAGCCAGCACTCATATGGCTCGTCATAAAACGAGGCTTCAAGCTATTCTGCATTGGCCTATGGCGAGGCTAAAATATTGAAAGAACATTATAAAACACTGCAAACCAAACCTATGATTGGCCCACATAAACAGGCAGGGCAAACTGGTGTTGCCTTGTTGTTTCTCTGGCCTTGTTTAGAAGTTCAGGTGTTTATCCTTTTTAAAAATTTCAACCAATTGAAGAGGGAACCGTATTTTGACAATTGCCAGGGAAATAAAAAGATCAAAGATTTAGTTTTCACAAAACGTCAATGATCTCGCGACCCCCCAAGAACGGTCTTGCGACCCCCGGGGGGGTCGCGATCCACAGGTTGAGAACCCCTGTTGTAGATGTAGCAGGCACAGCCTTCTGCATTGTTGTGTGATAGGTGTGCTGCAAGTCTCAGACCCATCTCTTGTCTCTTGCAGCAGACCGCGCGTTCTGTAGTTTTGCTGCTGGGTAGGTTGGCAGTTACAACACGGTAAAATTGAGTAGACACAAGACACTCACACTTGGGAGTAAGACTAGAAGTAGAAGAGTAGTCTAGAATCTACTCAGACTCAGGCTACTCAAGCCAATAAAATAACACAGTTGCTACATTCACGGTGCCCTGAATGTAATTTGCAGGCGCTGTTGAGGCTACATTCACGGCACTAAAGCTTCATTTAGGGGGAGTGTCCACTGCCAGTATAAGTCAGCTGGTTTCAGTCAGTGACGACAATAAGGTATTTAATATTTTGGCCTGCTTCAAGTGTTCCATTCCATGAGATGAAGGAAAACGAAGCGCTCTTACAGAATTAAAGTCGGGATATGGGATATATAAAATTGGATACGGTACATGGGAAACAAGAGGTGAGAGATGCAAAACAGAAGGTGGGATTCAAAAGATGGGCGGACTAGTAATAAAATGTGTACAATAATGACTGTATGCACCAGGTCAGCCTGGGAACCTACGCAGAGAGAAAATGACGGATTAATTATTCTTATTATAATCTTTCTCCCTCCCCCCCCCCCGCGCCCTTCTCTCTCCCTCTGTTTTTCTCTCACCCCCCTCACCTTCTCTCTCTCTCGCTCTCACACACACACATTTCCCGCAGACAAAATTGTACGCTTTCAACTCGAGAGCGTTGGAACGTTTGTTTACACTCGAATATTATAATCACGGGCCGTCACACGCTAACACAAGGTCGCGCCCAAGTCGCCCGGACGCGAGATAAGGCAATGGACGCGACATATAGGGCAATTGAAACATCTTGGTCGGCGTATACATTTTTGTCCTACATATATATTCTAATGCGTTGTTGCGTAATGGAGAGTTCATCATTTTCCCTTACACTGGCAAGCTCTGAGCCAGAGCTCAGTGTTAGGGAAAATGACGAATAGTTGATCTGTCAAGTATCACTGCTTCGCTTTCCTTCATTTCATGGGATGGAACGCTTGAAGCAGGCCAATATAATAAATATGTAACGTCACTGACTAAAACCGGCTTACTTAAACTCAACAAATCAAAACCGATAGTGGACGCTCCGTCTAAACGAAGTTTGAGTGCCATGAACATAGCCTCAACAGCGCCTGCACACTGCATTCAGGGCGCCGTGAACTTAGCCTGCCAATTACAGTGGAAACCTGATATAACAGGGATGGTGGGAGTAGAGAAAAGGTCCTGTTATATCCTATCCCTGTTAAATCAGAAATGTAAGGAAAGTAAGCATTTGTTGACTAATCCAGCTGTACTTATTTTCATGGGTAGTTTCCCTTGCCACAAGTACCCACAAACAGGGGTTTTGGCACCAACTTTCTCCTTGCCTCCTTAAACCACATCGAAGAGCTTGGTCCACAGCATCTGCATTGGGTAGTCTCATCTTCTTTCGAGTCATAGAAAACTTTCCATTGGAGTATGCTGCCACTATCTTCTCTCTATCCTTAATAATGGTGTGAATCCACCCTTGTGGAATGTCGAACTGACAATAAATCTCTGCCAGTGGAGCTTGCTTTTTGTCAACAGCCTGGATTATTTCGTACTTTTTTTCTCAATTGAAAGGCATTTTCTCTTGCGATTGACATCGTTGGTGACACATTACACAAATGTGTTGCTAGGTTTCGGGCTGGATCGAGGTCTGCAGCACACTGCAGCCCTCTCTCGCTTCACACGCTGCGTGTGCTTGCTGTGGCATGGCTTGCGTGGGCTTGCTCCATCGCTGCGTTACTCTCTCTCTCTCACTTTTTACACATTAACGAGCCTTTGTCCCTGCTATAAGCGGTTGGGCTCTGATGTCCCGATGAGGCCCTGTTATTGCCGATAACTTTTAATAGAGACAAAGAGTAGGAAAAAATGGGGATTTAAAAAATCCCTGTTATTACCGGATCCCTGTTATTACCAGGCCTGTTATATAGGCCTATGGTTTCCACTGTACTACGTTCAGGGCACCTTGAACATAGCCTGCCGACTACGTTCACGTAGCCATTGCGATAAAATAAAGCCAGGTTAGATCTACGGCGATTGTGTAAATTTCCGCGTTAAATTCCGATACTAGTTTTAATCGGCCTATAAAAGCCCTAGAACTTACCATTAAACAGAGTAATCCAATCCAAAAATGAAATCCAATGAAAGTGGCTATTCTCACCCGCCCGGAAGTTCTCGCAAGATCTACTCCTCCACTCTTCTCTCTCTCTCTGTCTCTTTCTGAATACTGTCTATCGGTGTGGACGATCAAATTGACCAAAACAAAGTTAAAAAATGATGTTAAAACACAAAAGTAAATTAATTTGCTTGTCTACAAAGATGCTACGGCTATTTAACTTTTCGAATCGAGCCGAACTACGCGGGTCGCCATTTTGTTTTGTTCTCTCTCTCACTCTCTCTCTCTCCCCTGCCCACAGACAAAATTGTACGCTTTTAGTAGGCTACAAGTACAGTTGTAATGGAACGTTTGTTCACAGCACAGAATTCTACAATTTCTCTTATCACAGTGTAGAATTCTGTGGTTTAGGGTGAACGCAAAATTTGTTGACACGCGCACCGGGTGAGAATAGCCACAAGACCCGCCTGCACTATTCTCACCCCGGGTGAGAATAGAGGTGGCCAAATCCAATACAGAATATTGCCAAAAATGTTTTCCTTAAATTGTTGCTTCCACATAAATTCTTGTAAATATGAATAAAAGAGTTTGTCAGATGTCCCGTGTATTGAACGGTAGGGACTAGTCGACTTGTGATGTCCCGGCCCAGGGGGCGGCCATTTTGGCAAAATCAGTCAGGGAATCTCCAGATTGGGCGGTGTTTCGTCGGTTTTGGCCCCGAGAGTAGGCTTGGGGGGTTTCATGCCCCCCTAATGAAATAAAAATATAGTCATAGAGGGGGGTTCAGGGGGGCATACCCCCCTGAATTTTATCATAAAATGATGTTTTGCAGATAGGTTTGATATCTCTCGCTCGTCGAGCATCAAACATAGATCTAGATCTAGCCTATAATAGATCTAGATCAAGGCTCAAATAAGCGGGGTGGGAACTGCCGAAAATGCGCGCCCAATCTGGAGATCCCCTGACAGATTTAGCCAAAATGGCCGCCCCCTGAGTCGGGACATCACAACTCGACTAGTGCCGAACGGTATTTTGCTTTTGCGTTGGCCCAACACTGGCAACACCCTTTAACTTTAAAGCGGAAATCTACACAATCGCCAGATCTACTACTGATACTGCGATTAAGCTGTGGCTGTTTAACAGTTAGAATAAAGAGGTGTCAGTAAAAACCTTGTTTTGTCTGGGAGATGATATTTCCGCAGTTTTGATTTTGTTAAAAATCAGACAGCGATCAAACAACAAAATCAAAAGGGACAAATTTTGTCGGAAGTGGCTATTTTCATCCGGGGTGAGAATAGAAAAACGATCTACCTCTCACCCCGGGTGAGACTTGCCAGCGTAGGCTATTCTCACCCGGTGCGAAACAAGACCTGCTTTTCCTCATTTTGGAATACTGTCTATCGGTGTGGATTGATAAAAGCCAAGAAAAAATTACGTTATAGCACAAAAGTAAGCTAATTTGATCGTCTTCAAAGATGCTATGGCTATTTCACTGTTCGAATCGAGCCGAACTACGCGGGTTGCCATTTTGTTTTGCCCGGAAGTTCTCGCGAGATCTACTCCTCCCCTCTCTCTCTCTCTCTTTCTGAATACTGTCTATCGGTGTGGACGATCAAATTGACCAAAACAAAGTTTAAAAATGATGTTAAAACACAAAAGTAAATTAATTTGGTTGTCTACAAAGATGCTACGGCTATTTAACTTTTCGAATCGAGCAGAACTACGCAGGTCGCCATTTTGTTTTGACCGGAAGTTTTCACGCTAATCCTCTCTCTGTCTCTTTCTCTCTCTCTCTCTCCACTGCCCACATACAAAATTGTACGCTTTTAGTAGGCTACAGTTGTAATGGAACGTTTGTTCACAGCACAGAATTCTACAATTTTTCTGTTATCACAGTGTAGAATTCTGTGGTTTAGGGTGAACGCAAAATTTGTTGGCCTAGATCTAGGCTATAACAGTGAACGCGCACCGGGTGAGAATAGCCAAAAGACTAGCCTGCACTATTCTCATCCCGGGTGAGAATAGAGGTGGCCAATTTTGTCAACGACTCAGCAGACTCACTCATCAGTCGACTGTACTAAAGTACTCTTGTACTGTAATTTATGTCTTGTGAACCCAAAGCCATTTTCTATACCACCTGACAACTGACTAAATTGACAACGTAGTAAACTATGCGTCCCATAGTCAAAATATTCTAAAGGCCCCTAATGTATACGGTAAAGGCAAAAAAATGTCACAAAATAGCGTAAATTGTAATTCTTACCGGTGGAAAGGGGTGTTACCTTCGCCATATCCCCGATCCCATAAGTCTACAGAGCCAGATTTTCTCCCCAAGATGAAAGTAATACGTTTCCTTGTTCATGAGCAGATATTTTAATGTTCAATGTTGTTGTTGAAAAACAAAGTGAGAGTTTGTATCGTTGAAAAATAATTTCAAATTGTTGTTGCGTGTAGAATAAGTGGATTAACTTATTATGTAAACACGGAATTAAATGTATCCTAAATAGCACTTTTCAAGTTAGAGAACTTGGATTATTGATTGAGTTTGAGGTCAAGTAAATAACTGCTATTTGGTTAACAAAAAAGAGTAGCAAATATTTTGTACCGTTTTTTGGAAATCGGATCACGATGGGCATGGTCCTGAAGTAAAACTTTCAAGTTTGACTCATAATGATAACAGGCCTGGAAGCATAGGACTTACACAGCTCATTTTAATTCAAAACGCCAAATTGGCCAACACTACCGCAATACAAAACTTGTACCGGAACATTGAATGAGAGAAAATTCTTAGCCAAGCCTATTTGGCATTTTCAGTGTTCGATGTGCTTATTTATTGTCCCTTATGTGCGCTTTTCGATTTCGCCAATAATCAACATAACAAATGCAGTTTAGAAACGACAGTTAATAAAAACTAATTTTGAATTACCTTTTTAAGCCAAACGATTTTTTTTGTGCCGAAGACATTTTTTTTTTTTGCTTTACAAAAAAAAGGAATAAATCCAGCTTTTATCCCAGCTGTACCATGGCATACATGCCGATGTAGATCTAGTTGAAATATTGCGCCTAGAGATGACGCATTTGGCAACGTCATTTAATTTCATTCATGGCAAAGGTAAACTTTGGTAAAACTGAGGTTTCAAGAAGGGTTTTCAATTCATTTGAGTTGCCCCCCCCCCCCCCCACTAGTTTTTCCATGTAGGCTACCTAATGTTCTGACTCCCCATAGGACCAGAGTCATGTTTTCAAACCCCTCTTTATAAATAGTAATTATAGTTTCCATTGGGCCAAGATTCAGTACTTCCACTCACGATATTTTTTTTCAAGTTTATAGGCCTAGCCTAGACGCCCAGAGTATAAGAACGTATAGTTATAGGCCCTAATAAATTGAGAACCGCCTTTATAATAGACCTACTAATAGTGAGAATGTTACAGTAGCTTACGGAGAAGGGCACCTTTATCTTTATGTCTTTAAAAAAACAAACAACTACAAGCCCAAAGCATTTAAAACGAGAAGAGTGTGTTTGGTTAAAGTAAAACAAAACACATGTAGATCTAGTATACAGTGTATTATTTTTTATCCGGAGTCTGCAGGAAAGTATCAAAGATTCAAACAGGAAGAAGAAAGTTAGAAAGGCTAAAACGCCATCAATATTGCCACCATCACACACAGCATCAGCAGCAATACAAGTGACGACAAATTACCGGTAAAACACTCTTGTTTGGGTTGGCCTATTTTATGTATTTTTCAGCCTGATCCCAACAACTTATGAATAGGGCTGAATGTAAAAGGCAGACAAGTCATTATATCCTCCTATTGGTATTCCTTGTAGGGAGTTACCTCCCTGGTTCTTTTCGTTTGATGGATCCATAGAGTTATCTCCTCTTAAACTAGAGTCAGAGACACTAAAATATAATTAAATACTCTCCGCTGGAGTCCGTACGAGGTCACGTGACACGGAAACATTTGAGTTTGTTGGCGGTCATATTTCAGTGGGCGAAAACGTTTGTTTACATGTGAGTGGGCGTGTCTCTGCTCTTATGTGTTTTATTTGATTCTAACCTTATGTTTTAACCAGAAGTGATTCTCCTAAAAGTGCAAGCATGTGAAACTGTAGATCTAGCCCCTTTCTGGATTAACGTCTTTTTGGGTTATTTTGAGCTTTGATTAGAAATCACAGTTGAGTATGGATTATCTCTTGTACGCAGATGATACACAGTTGTATAAATCTGTTCCACCACCAGATGTTAAAACCTTGCCTGCCACCATATGGGTATGTGCATTGATGATGTTAAGAACTGGATGATTGATAATAAGCTCCAGCTTAATGAAAATAATACTAAAACTCGTTTATT